TAAATACATAGTTATTTTAAATACCTACCAGGTATTTCATTGTTTTCATATTTAACTCTAAGTCCACTCCGTTCAAAGATTGTGTTGTCATTCATGGATCCTGGATATCTTGCAACAATATCCATTATTTCCATGTGTCGGCCATATGCTACCTAAAAATAATGTTATTTATATTGCAATGTATAATTTTATTATGGAATGAATACACTGACAAATAGAAGCTGTTGTTACTTTTTGCTTGTGTATTATTATTAATAATAACTATTAACAGTCATCATTATATGGTATACTATTTAAGATATCCTAAAGAAATGTTACAGTATACTTCATGACTACTTACCTGCACGTTTATAGAAAAAAATCTTTTTCTATTGCGAAATGCTTCACCTATATTACCTCCAGGATTTTTTATGGGCACATGGGTACCGTCAATAACACAAGATATTCCAGGGAAATTTGAAATTTCATGAAATAACCTTGTCGTCTGCTCATGGTTTGGGGAAAATCTACATGAAGTCCTTGTATGTCGTTCAATGGCTCTGGATACTCTTTTGACACTCTGGCATACTGCTGCCTGTGAAATTCCCCTCAAGTCTCCAGATACAGTCTACAAATATTGCAATAATTACTTATGACTTTCTAATTTTGTAAATATTAGCTTCTGTTAGTAAAAAAATGAAACAAAAAATTGACTTCGGAAAGCAGGAATAGTTTTAATAATTTTTTATATTTAAAAAACTTCAAGAAACTTTTCCTAGAACAAAATATAAAAAAATTGGTATTCTGGTACTAGAGACTAAGGATGAAAAATGTCCTAGACTTAACATGTGAATCAACCCTGCTAGATAAATTAAACAATTACTTGAACATTTCCAGTTGCATAGTATCTGAGATTCAGCAACAACTGAGTCATTGGTTATATAGGCAGACCTCTATTATTTACAGTTTGTAATTCTTCTTCAATAAGAGGTAAAATAATATTTTAAACTGTATCTCTTGAAAATCTATGGCGAGACTTAAATCCTCGTTCTGAATGCCTCTCAAATGGATTGTCCCAGTCTCTTATGTAACGTTTAGGGATCCTGATATGTGGAACCATTTCATTCTCCACTAAGTCTATATAATCTATAAACTCTTCAAAATCTTCCATTTTTTTTTTATAAAATTCAAAAAAAATGACGCAAATCAATCTCAAAACTACCACAAATTCTATATTTTAACCTTAAAATCGGCGAAAGATGTCTTAAGGTAGCTTGAGACCTACCTTGACCTTAAGGAATCCTTAAAGGTTCCTTCGACGACTGTAAAATACATTTTGCTCCTAAGGAGGCCTCAAGTGTCAAGGACTCCTCAAGGCTCGACTATCAATTCCACCCTAAAGTAGGCCTCCCACAATCAAATAGTTTGTCAAACTTGACTAATCAAACTGAATTGGTGACGTCATATTATGAATTTAATCAAATTTTCTTATTTTAGCGGCGCCGGTAAAACGATCAGTCAGTTTGATGAAATCTGATTTACTATTGGTCAATTTTGACACCAGAGAAATGACATGACAGATGACAGTTTTAACCCTTTCAGTACCAATTTTTTTTTCAGCGAGAGAAAAATTATTTTTTGCTTAAAATGTACATAAATGAGTTCAAATAACTATTTTTTTTTAATTAAAATAATTATAGCATATAGATATATATATCAAATTTATTATGGGTACATTTGTACCCAAAAGTACTTAACAAACGTACAAAAACTATCTATGATGAAACGTAAGAAAGCAATTTCTCTCCTTTTGAAGACACAGATGAACATTGCACTTCTGGCACTTCCATCTTGACTTGCCTCCACAACCAGGGTTTTTGCATCTTAAAGGTAAAGGTAACTCTGGGTGCTCTGGATAATGTCCAATATTATCATATTGCACCTCAGTAAGAGGCCTAACGTCAATGTTTCGACGTTTGGCTGCCACTACCGGACTGGATGTACCGCTTGATGGTCTTCCCCGTTTTCGGTTGTTGTAAGAATTCGCTTTTACAAGCGATTTGCCAACTTTCATCCTAAAATGTAGAAGGTCCATGATATCTTTTTGAGAAATTCCTAGAGTATGCATGTTTTTTTATACTCCAACCAAGAGTTTGTTAGTGCCATGTCAACTGCATGAAAGATTAGTCGAACAGTCCACTTTCTACAACGACTTTTTGTTCTGTAGAATGCAATAAGAGCATCTGTTTTATCTATGCCACCCATGGACTTATTGTACTTTTGTATAACTTCTGGTCGATTTACGTCAATGAACGATTTTGTTTTTTTATCCCATCGTTTTACAAGGTCTTCTGTCCCAATCCCAACGAAGTTGGATACCATAATCACTGGCTTGTTATCTAACCATCTGGTTACTACAACTCCATCTGTAGAGATAATTTGTTTCGTTGATCCTCTCTTTTTTTTTTTTTGAAAAATCCTTTACGTCAGTTAGAGGTGGTTTAGAAAACCTATTGAGTCTAGCAGTTCCAGCAAAAAATATTGATTTTTGATTGAGAATTTGTAGAAGATGATAGCTCGTAAAATAATTGTCATAGTACAATATGTGCTTGTTAGGTTCGAGTTCTTTTGATAAATGTAATACGACTGCTGCACCCTGTCCATATTTCAAAAAGGAAGGCTCTATTTCCGTGGTACTAACTTGATAGATTAGAAAATTGTAAGTTAGTCCACTTTAACCACCTAGTAAATACAGCTTTACCCCCCATGGATGAGGCTTGTTTTTGATATATTGCTTTATAGACAATCTTCCTTTGAAGGGCATAATTTGTTCATCGATGCAAATATTTGTTTCTACCTGTAGTTCTCTACATCTCTTTAGGACTGATTCAATTCAATTGGTCGAACTTTCCACAGTTTGTCGTTGCCCTGTCTAGGACTCAGATTGTCCACACAATGTATGTGGGTGCGAAGTTTGAAAAAACGATTAATTGTCATTGTCTCTGTAAAAATATCAACTTTTAACGATTTATCCCAATACATACGCAGTCTTGGAAATTTTATACATCCTGTTAGAATACTTAGGCCGAAAAAAGCTTTTATTTCTTGCAGGTTACATGGTACAAATTTCTCAGTTCCCGTTTGCAAAGCTTACATATTTGTGTATGAACTATATCTTCAAATAAACTTTCAGGAAAATATTGTAACGAATTGCATTTAAAAATAATTAGATTTTTATTAAAGATAAAATAAAGTACTTTCCAAAAATATATTTCAACTCAAATTTTAATAAAGCCATTTCCAAAAATATAATTTTATTTCAATCTTTTTAATTTCCATTCAATTCCAATTTGTGTTTAATATTACATTTAAAGTTATTTAAAACAATAACAATCTTTTCGTCTAGTAATTAAAAACTTTATTTTATGTTGAAAATAAACAATGCACTCAATTCGGTTATGCTGATTCTACAATTTCAAAACAATGTTGAGGTCAGCTAGCCAAATTGACAAAACAAAAAATAACAACATTTTTGGCACAACCGAGGCTATAAGTTCTTCGGCTGTGACGAAAATCGGCAGTAGGTAATACTCTGCTGTATTACAGCAATAAAAATAAAAATAAAAAAATAAAGTCGTGACATTCCAGCTTGCTGTTAAAATATGTAGTAAGGTTTTTTATAAATCTAATAAAAAATAAAATAAAATAAAAAAGGTATTTCTGAGAAAAGTAACTGGTTTGTTCTTTAAAGTCTTTATAGTGTATATATATTGTATATTTGGGGTGTATTATTATATTGGGGATTTCTGGACAGTTCAGGGGAATTTAGTTTGTATTTATTAAAGATTTGTAGTTTTTTATGCAGTGACTTTTATTCCTTCCCAAGTAGCGTAAAGCCAAGCCAAGCGTAATAAATCATAAGAAAGGTTCTCCAGTGAGTATTTTCGAGTGGCGCAAAGATCTTCCTCAACTGGAAGATCGTTTGGGCGGTCCGAAATACGCAGTGGCGTACCCCACGATTAATTGGTTTGCCTAACAAACCACTTAACGTGACAATATCTCAGAAAATATGTAACTGGATATTCCTCAGAACAGTTTTCATTGGAATTCTGGGATATTTTAGTTTGTAAATCTCTTGTTACATATTGCACATTCTGTAACCATTTTACATTTTTTTTTTTTTTTTTTCAGAGTAATAAAGTCATCATAGTTATATTCTTCTTCATCCTGTTCTTCACCATCCTCTATTTCTTCCTCATTGTCTCCCTTGTTTAGTTGTTCTGAGACATCATCTATTATTTGTCCAATTCTCTGCCTTACTTGGATCTCTTCTTCATTGTCACTGTCATCACTAAAAAAACCTTCTACGTCAGACAGCCCTTTTTGTAACTCCTCTAGCAGTTCCTTCTCCGTCACTTTTTTTTTGAGGCATTTTACCCTGAAAATAATTATAACACTTAGTCATTTTGGGTACAACTGTACCCATCGAATTTGATGGACAGTTATCTATTTGAGAAAGTAAAATTTTAGTAAAATATTTTTACAATTAGTAAGAACCAACACTATTTTCAACATTACACAAGAATACAAACTGCGATTGACTTTTATTCAAACTGATATATCAAGATAAAAGTATACTTACCTATTACCAACAAAGCAGCTGCAACCACATTACTTTTGACATTAATTTTCATTCAACTTTTAAAGGGCTATTGCGCCATCTACATACAAAACATATAAGTATAGTACCTATAGAATATAGATATCATTACAATGGTTTAATTACAGATTCCTGTAAAATTATAGATGCATTAATTTCAATGTGTACAATTGTACCCAACATGACTGAAAGGGTTAACGTCAGTAGGAAGTCATTAAATCGGGCGATGTCTTTTACACGTGATCAAGTAGTAACGTTAATTGATTTTTATGGGAGCCACGAAATATTGTATGTGGTCAAAAATCCTTTGTACCATAATACAAATGCCCGACAGCAAATCTTGGAAAAAATTACCCAAAAGATGTGCATCCTCCGACCGAACACAACAGGTAATTATGTATGTTTATAAAAATTATTATATTATAATACAATTTTAAATTTATTTCAGTAAATGAGATTAAAGCCAAACTAAATAGCCTGAGGACGCACTTCAACAAAGAATTAGCAAGAATTAGAAATGCACCCTCTGGATCAGGGGCAGAAGCAGCTCGGATCTCATTGTGGTGCTTCGAGAATCTTTTATTCTTACAAGACCAAACTGTTGCGACACCCAGTGATTCCAATTTAAAAGTAGACAACGAATGTACTGAAAATGAGATTATACAGATCAACAATGATCAAGAAGTAAGTTAAAAATAATACTCTGTATGTTTTCTAGGTATTTTATTGTTTTAGTCAATGTCTGTTCTTGAAGAGGAAAGTGATCCTGAAAATTTTAATAGCAACACTAAGACTCCAACAAGCTCCAAAAAATCTACAAGTGAACATAATATTGTTGCTAATTCTTGCTAATTGTTGCCGAAAGAGAAAAAAGACAAATTTGTCAAACAAAACAGAAACGCAAGACGATCATATAGAAATATTTGGAAAATATATTGCCAGCGAGTTAAGAGCAATTAGTAATACAACACAACAAAAAAGATGCAAAAATGCCATAGTGAAAGTTTTGTTTCAGTTTAATGATGAGGATGACTGATATAATTGTGAATTTTAAATTTGAATTGTGTTTTTTAGATTAATAATAAAATGTAAAAATGCAAGAGTTTATATTTAAGTTTTAGTTATAGTTTATTTTTCTAAAATAATTATCTTATTAAAGGCCCTTTCTTAAACGTGCTTCGATCCTTGTTAAGTCAGAACAAGAATCCGGTTTTTTCCTGCCTCTCTACATGAAATAACGAGGTTTAAAGAAAAATAATATATTTTTAAAAATGTAATTTAGAAAAATATTTTAAAACACCACAAAACAAAGAGCACAGAGCATACAAAATAATCCATAATAATTATCCTTTAAAGTTATTAATAGCTGATTGTTGCCAAGAAATGGCTCCATTGGAATTAAAAAATTCTACAAATTTAGTACGAATATCCTGGGCATTTCTTGCACGATTGCCATCTTGTCTCTTAGAGGACATGTTAAATCTTCATTTTCTGTTTCACTGTTATAAGAAGTAGATGTTGTCAACCGATAATTATGTAAAATGCAACAGACTTTTGTTATAGTGACAACTTTTGAAACATCAACATTCATCGTGCCAAGTAGTATACGAAATCTATTGGATACTATTCCAAAAGCATTTTCTACTGTTCTTCGGGCACGACTGAGTCTATAGTTATATATTCTTTTTTCATTTGACAATCCATGAATTTTAAAAGGTTTCATTATATTCTTCTTCAAAGAAAATGCATCATCAGCTAATATTACATAAAAAATTGGCTTGTTCCTTTCAGGTAAGCAGATAGGTGAAGGTAAGTTCAGGCTCTTATTTTCCAATGCTGTTGCTAAAGGACTTCTTTAAAAAAACCCCGCCATCACTTATACGACCATTTCTTCCAATGTCTACAATCAAAAAACGACAGTCTGCATCAACTACCGCAAATAAAACAATGCTGTATGTCCCCTTGTAGTTTCTATAGAATGAACCATGTTGCCTTAACGGCCTAAATTTCACGTGCTTCCCATCCATTGCACCAATGCAATTAGGAAATTGCTATTGAGTATTGATTTTTTCACTCTTTGCACATATATAACTAAAGGTAAGTCTTGTTTCTGTTATATCTACCCATACCCAGAATACTTACAATCATTCACCCCTAGTTTCTATTAATAGAATAACTTCTTTTCATAACAATATTCACGAGAATATTCACGAGAATATTCACGAGAATATTCACAAGTTATTGATAGGTAGTAGATCTGTTAAAAATATTATGTTATCCGTTAAATGGGCAACTTATTTTTGTTCACTCTAGGACTATTCTCTCTGAAAAATTCCGGAAGCAGTCTTAGCGTGGAAATTTTTTTGAATAATTTGTTAATTATTTTTCCTACGACCACTTGTAAATTTAGCTTTAGCAATTATTATTAAAATAATTTTAAAAATTACGTTAGGTTTGCTTTTTATTCTGGTTAAAAACATAATCGATTGGATAATTTATTTGACGTAAGGCCTGTTAGCTCAGGTGTTAAGAGTATCAAACTTTATCAACTTTGCCATTTGCGACGCAGCGCGCGACTACAGTCGTATCCTGGTAGAGGCAAACATTTTTTTTCAAGGCGACTCTTGACATAAATGACCGCCCAATAAGAACTGTTCTTGCCAAGAAAAAAGAAACTGATGTTGAGCCAGATTTAAGGGGACACAATTTACATTCCGAAATAAGAGATGGTGTCCGAAAACATATCGAGTGTATCCCTAAAATTGAGTCGCATTATCTTCGTGCTCAAACCACACGCCAATATATAGATGGCACGAGGGTGAAGGCAAGCGGGGTGTTGAGGAAATTGAAAGATGTGTATTGATGTTTATAGAAAAGACGGTACAAAATATGCAAGAAAATTTTGACCTAGTTTTTTATTCTGACAACTGCAGTGGCCAACAAAAAAATAAGTTTATGGTGGCTCTGTATTACTATGCGATTTTAAAATACCCACAAATAAAAACAATCACACACAAGTACCTAATCACTGGACATACCCAGAACGAAGGTGATAGTGTTCATTCGGTAACAGAGAGACAGATAAAAAGAGCTCTAAAAGGCGGCCCTATATACATCCCTGGGCAATATGCACAACTGATCCGATCTGCAAAAAAAAATGGCAAACCCTATCAGGTTAACGAGTTATGTCATAAAGATTTCTATAATGTAAAATCTTTAAACGAACAATTACAAATTAATTTAGGATTACTTAAAATAACAGAAGTCAAAATTTTGAGAATCAATAGGAATAACCTGAATAGTTTGTTTATCAAAACATCATACGAAGCTAGTGAATATCAGAATATTAATATTATAATAAAAAGGAGCCTTGGAATAAATTCAAACATTCCCACCCTAAAGTCAGTTTACAAAACAAAGCTAAATCTTAAAGAAAACAAAAAAGAAGATATCTTATCACTTCTACATGCTAATCACATTAAAAGATTTTATGCTGATTTTTATGAAAATCTGTAATATTTAAAACTTTTTTTGTTCTTTTAATTACCAAATCGTTTTGTAAAATTTTTGGTTTTTACTTGTTTTTTTGTTTAATGTTCAATAAAATTTGTGTTTGTATGCATAGGATAAATAAATATTTTGTTTAAATCCGATTCGGTACTCTTTCATTATCTCATTGCCTTACAAAATAAATCTCTTGGAATCTTTTATAAATATAGAAACAAACAGTCAAAGTGACATAACTAAAAAAAAAAAGTATTTACATGAGCAAATCAGAAACGACACTTCAGATCAAAAACATATTTAATAAATAGTAATAACAAATTCTTCCTATAATTATGTTAAGTATTCTCCTAAACGTACCTATAAAAAGTTAATAACTTAAATTCAAAAGTGCCGGTAATTTTGAGAACAAAATTAGTTCGGCCGATAACTAAAAATCTCTCTAAATCAATATTATAGTTTTTTTACTTACGTCACTTCTGAAGCATGGGTGCGAAATGTGCTTTCGAATACAAAATTTTTAAATTCCATCTAGGAAGTTTGAAGCAAAAAGATTGATCGTGTGACTACCAAGTTTGAACCAACGTCAAACTGTCATAATTCTACGTCATCAGTTCAGTTTGATTAGTCAAGTTTGACAAACTATTTGATCGTGGGACGCCTGCTTTAAATAAGAAGAATGAAAAATCTTCATTATATTGTAAGTGCTCATTCCTATTATTTCCTTTTAATTTTACTTATAATAGTTATAATTATTATTAATAAAGTTTAATCTATTTTCAATTTAGTTAATTTATTTTAAACAAGTTTTAATGTAAATCGTTCAGAAAATAATCCAGTAGATTATCAAATGCTTAAATTATATTTAGATTCAATTCCTTCATTCGATGGTAATCCTCATATTTTAAGTATTTTTATTGAAAATTGTGAAAGCTTAATATCAGTTTTTGCCAGTCGAAACAATCTTGCTATAAATTCATTTTTATTAGAAGCTATAATTGGTAAAATCTCAGGGAGAGCCCAAAAATCAATTGGTTCCCGAACAGAGCTCAAAGCATGGATTGATTTAAAAAACTCATTAAACCTAAGTTTTGAAGATCAACGTTACATTGCTTGGTTTAAGATTTAATAAATTGGCGTCCTTTAAAAAATTAAAGTCCCGATAATTTTGGCATGAGATATCAAAATATTTCAAAATTAAATCTTTAAATTTACACGATAGTGAACGCGCAATCAGACTTTCAAATTATGATGATTTAACACTAAAAACATATATTCGACGACAACCATTACCTATTCAAATAAACGTTAGATTAAGAGTACCTGATAGCTTAGAAAAAGATGAGTTTAGATATAGAAGAAGAAACTATCTTTCATCATGTAAACCTAATTTAAGAATCACACCTGCCATAAATCCAACTTATAGAGCCTTCAACAATTACTCCTAATTCTAGTAATCTAAATTCTCATCAACCACAAATTAATAATCAAAATTATTCTCAAAATTCCAAACCTGAACCATCTTCAGGCAATACTAGAATTCATCCAAAACAACAATTTACTCCAACAGAACTTTGTAATAAAAATATTAACTGCTCTTATCAAAATCAACCATATGAAAATTCATACAACTCTCAAAACTTTAAAAATCCAGTATCAACAATAATATCAACGATAATTAAAATTTATACCACATGACATTAACCCTTATTCTTATTTTTCAGCAATCTAATATATTTTTTGTTAATGCATTAAAAGCAAATTTACCGTATATCGAAATTCCAGAAAATTCTTAATTGACACAAAATATTAAATTGTTCCAAATTTGGCGTATAAATATTATCAAAATTATATAATCAGAGAAATTTAATATTCAGACAACATAATTTAAAAGTTCAGCTAGACAAATCAGAATTCCTTCAAAAATCAGTTATGTATTTAGGACATGAAATTACTCTGCTGGAGTTGAACAAAATACTAATAAAATTTAGACTATTAAAAATTTTTCAATTCCCAAAACTCAGAGAGACATTAAAAGTTTCCTTAAACTCGTGACTTTGCTAAAATTACAAAGCCATTAGCAAAATGTTTGAAAAAGGCGCTCAGGTAATTCATAATAAAGATTTTATAGACCAAACATGTAAAGACATTTTAACAAACGACCCCATATTGCAATATCCAAACTTTAATAAGCCGACAGACGCTAGTGATTTTGCTATAGGCGTAGTTTTATCGCAAGGTAATGTACCAAACGATAGGCCTACTGCTTAGGCTTCTAGAACCCTAAATGACTCAGAGACAAATTACTCGACTAAAAAAAAATAACTACTTGCAATTCTTTGGAGTTGCAAGCATTAGAGTGTTAAAAGAAAAGTAAGGTTAAGGCTAGTAAATGCACGTATTGATTTTTGAAAAGGAACAAGAAAAATGGAAAAGGCTTCTGAAAATAAATATGGTATTGTACTCAATGGGAGTGGATTTATTTGATAAGTTTCGACTTCTATTAAAAGCATTGGACTTAAGTGATATGATGAAGAATGTCCCAGCTACGGATAGAGATGATAGTTGGGACAAAAAGAATGA